TAGTAAACCCCTAACAATAGATCAGCGCCGTTCAAATCAAATTATCACGCCCGGGACACAAAACAATTTCGTTCGAAAACACTTTTTTTTTGCAAGCAAACCAATCACACACGTATAAACGTCCGGGAGGCAGAGTGCCAGCGCTAATCCGGCCAATGCAGCCGAAAAATATTATAAAAGAAACAGCGTAAGATTAAACTCAAATCACTTACCATAATTCCTAGTAATCCAAATAGTCCAGTAAACGTAACTTACCCTAGATACTCAATTCGCTTCCATTCCATACATTCATTCTCACACTGAGGCAAAAGAACGTAAAAATTCCATAAGAACCACTTATGAATTTTAGCCACAAGAAATCGGTATGAATTTCATTGATTTGCCTTATGAAAAATAATATCGACAAAAAAAAATAAAACCGAGCAGACTGGAACCGGACCATGGACGTTGAGATAACGAGTCCTGTGTCTGGACCACTCGTCCGTCAACGCTTGGGAAAATGGAATGACTAATGGCGTAGAAGAGCTATCTCATGTAAGACGAAAAATTTTCATAAGTCGTGCTTATGAAATTCATATGTGTCGTTCATAATTCGAGCCTTATAAATTCTTAATTTGCCTCAGTGCACGTTTTTCGCTTTCCCATACAGAAAACTCGCAGAGAATGCCTTATATCTGTATTCCTAAGCTCCAGCCTAGAGAAGTTGGTTCCACTGAGAGTGTTCTCTTTGTCTGATACACGTACTTCCCCTCTCGTTATATCGGCCCTCTCCGCTCCAGAATCTCTACGCAGCGCAAGCACCGCTAGAACTAGAACCATTCGAACACTGCTAGCCGTGTGCTAGGCGAGTAAGAGAGGTGACACAGTCGGAAGAAGTGTTAGTTTGTTTACTAAAATGAACCGCCCATTTTGTTATGGCAAGTTTTGCTATAAGAAATGCTCCTCGTGTTTCTTAGCGAAATTCACATCAAAGATTGATTAATTGCGTTGGAAATCAGTTTGGATGGCATTTGTGACCAGCATACACCTTTCGGTCGTATGAAACAGGTCAAAAACTGTCCAAATCCACAGATAAAAATTTTTGTTTTGAATTTCTGTATGGCAAATTAGTGAACTTTTCGTGAACATTAAGGGCAAAGAACTCTCCAACACTGGGAGACCGTGAGTTCCTGCCCACCTGTCTTAAAAACATCTCGGGTTGCGCTATGGCGCATCACTAGGTGTTGTGTCCGACGTGACACTCGCTACTGCACAGTGAGCAGCTGTGCAGGGCCTTCCTCTTGTTGTTCGCTGTTCGTTGTTCGCCTGGGTTCTAGAGCAGACGTGATAGCCAGCCAACTGTCCAACAGGGCAGCTTAGGACAGTTGTGACCGCTTACCAGCTGCGTGTGCTAAGCACTCTAAGAACCCGGCGTCACTCCTGCCTTTCCACAACGAGGGTTTGTGCAGGGCTTCTAAACCTCCTGGGACGAGCTGGATGGGGTTCCAGCGTCCCTACTCTGCGGTAGTTCGTTTAGCCGCAATATCTCTCCCTTGGGTTCGATAATTAACGTTTCCAGGGCACACCACGAGGAGGCGAACTACTTCATGCCCCAGGTTGTACGGGGCGAACGTTGTAAATCACTCACTCCGGTTTTTCCTGTTTTCCCCTCCTTTGAGAGAATTCTATCGCCGTCAAAATGGTGCCCGAAAAATTTAGAAAATTTCGCCAATTTGTAACAAAATAAACACTTCACAGGTTATCCACTTCTGCCTTATTTCGTCAAGAAGGAAATTTTACCTCCCTACATATTCTTTAGGCCACTGGGTGGCACCAGCCAGATACCTCACAAAAAAGAAAAAAAATTAAAAAAAAAACGTGCATAAGTACGCTCGTTTCCGCACTGTGCTACACTTTTATTTTTTCAATTACTGACCGTGAATTAAATTTCTTCCTCGCAGTGATAGCAAGACACTTCCACTTCTTCTGCAAATAAGATTTTGCCAATTTTCACCAAATAGCACTGTTTTCACTTGATTGAACCCGCCGAAATCGTAATTTTCAGGAGAGATTTCCCGATGCGTTCGCGTTGCTCGACTACCAGACACCGAATGTTATTGATTGCTTTTGCGTTTTGTGTAAATAATAATTACTACAGTGATTCATAGCATAGGAATTCAAAAAGAATATATTTATATTAAATTTGGGTGGTACATTTTTCACGGACTGTTTGGAACTCCATATCTAGTCCATATTTGAATAAGAATCATTGCTTTGATAAGACAATCTTATGGTTTCCAACTATGCACATGGCTTTGTTTATTTGTTTTGAAATAAAATCCATTAATTTTTTATTTTTTATTTTTATTTGTAGACATAAAACATGCTTAAAGATACTTTGAAAGTTTCACAGAATGTTCTTCTTCTGAGAACGAGAATCGTTTCACAATAATATAATTTTCATTTTCTGTTTGTTTCAATTCAAATTTGTTTGACACGATTATAACGAGTTTTAAGTTTTCTTTCCATCGCTTTATGATCTGCGTCTGAAAAAAAGCCATAGTGCATTTTCGAATCGATTTTAGAAATTGCCCATGTATAAAGCTTTTTAGCAGTTGTAATGAGATGCCCCTGCAAACTTGCTTTAGCAGCATTTCGTTTCAAGACTCCTCCCAAAGCATCACATGGACCTTTACCGTGGCATGTGGCGAAAAAGTTACACTCCGCATCTGTACCAAAATCCTTTTTCAAATGGCACAAATTAAAAGCTGTCATCTTATTTTTGTACTGACTGCCTGATCCATCTGAGAAAAAGTGAATTTTCTTAAGGCTGAAATTTATACAATTAACTACGAATAATCGAACTGAAACATGGTTGTGCTTGGTAAACTCCGCGATTGCAGTCAAACTAGTAAACATTAAATCTTTGGTATGATCATCACTATAATAAATAGCAAATGGATGTATAGTGCACTGTGCGTTTACCCAATGAAATCCTTGTACAAGACAACAAATGAAAAGTTTTCAGAAAAATCACATATTATTATACATTCCGTTACTTTCAAGTTACTTTTGACATATTTCTAGTATTTACCTTGTTGTTCAGCTATGAAATTATGTGGTGATAAATCGGATAACTTTTCCAAAAACATGTCTATAAACTCTTGAGTTTCCAACTCCACTAAATCCATGATACAACGGTCAGCTTGACGCCATTGTTTAAATTTTAAGGATTCCATATTTCCATCGGTCAGGATGGTAACCATTTCTGCACTTAAAATTCATCGTTTGTAAAACACTGGCTGTACAGAATATCTTTGGATTAACAGAGTTTTTGTTTCCTTACTAATTATTTCACTTCTAAGTTCATCCTTAAATATACCACCATGCATTGTACCTACGAACGAACACCTTACCTACCAAGTTTTCCGTATGATTTTAGCATGTGCTCTGTCTAGGTAGCTATTTACTTGGTGAAGTATTCACTTTGAATAAACAAGCCTGCAGAAGCAGAAAATTGATATGGATTATGTGACTATGTCAGCTATATGTACCAATGGAGACGCAAGGTAATCTAGTCGTATTGGAATAATGAGCGAAATTTCGAAACATGATAATTTCAAAAAAATCGTAGCTCAATATATATATATATACAGCAATTCCATAGAAAAAAGTTATAGTGGGTCTCAGAATTTCATGAAAATTGGTATAGTTCTTCCTTATCAAAAAATATTAGACTCGTATTTTTTTATTGCGCCATTAGGGTGACCATTTCCATGTTAGGGTGGTCCAAAAAATCATTTTTTTTTTCAAAAATGTCTTTTTTCAAAAATTTATAACTTCTGAACCTCTTAACCGATTTTTACAATTGACCCTTCAAATGAAAGATGTAGTTTTAAGAAAAATTATGAAACACTCAGAGATATTTGATTTTGTAGGAAAAAAATATGTTACAAATGCTTTTTCTTGATTTTTACTGCGAGGGTCTTCAACAACTTCTTATTTTAGTATTTTTAATTGAAAGATCATTTAATTTTACATAACATATCAAAAAATTAGCGATGTCGGAGTTTTGGAGATACAATTTTTTTAAAATAAAAAATTATTGTTCCGCAATATATGCACCACACGTGCATGGAAACGATGAAGTCGCAAGGTAGTTCACAATGCGTCTCCATCGAGTCACAGCAGCTGTGACTAATGAAATCTATGAGTAACTTACAAGCTGGGTGCAACATTCAGTCCATAAACCACGTAGACCAAGTTTTAAACATTGCAGATCCTACCTTTCCCTTCGTATACTCAAATTTTAAAGCGTTTCGTTTCAATACTCCTCCCATAGGGCCTTTTCCATGACAAGTTGCGAAAAAATGCCACACGGCAGCAATGCCAAAAAAATTTTGCATGTTGCATCGGTACCTAAGAGTCCAAGCTGTACCTCATAGGTATATCACATATTTACATAAGCTCCAGCCCAATAGGCTTCGCGGTGTTAGTGACATTTGGAAATGTTTGGTGGTGTTTGTATTTATTCGCAATATTCATCTATTTACCTGAAACAGCTGTTTGAAGTGACGTCATTGCTTACGAACAGGTGATATACCTATGAGTTACAGCTTAGACTCGTAGGTATATCACTCACTCGTAGGTACGATATAATGCTTCACATAAAACAACGAATGTTATGAAAGAAATGATCAGTTAGAAATCAAAGTTTCCTACTAGAACAGTTGAATTGAAGAATATCTAAAAATGAAAAGTAAGTGTTCAATGTGTGATGTTTGGATGTTGAGTTCATGTGCCAGAAAAATCACCAATAAATTGTACGATTATGCAGTGGAAAAAAAGATTAAAATAGATGAGAGTAGCTCCTTCATTTGTCAACGATGCTACCACAAACTATATGAACCCAATGATGCCGTGACCGAAGAAGCCGTTGCAGTACCATCCAGAATCACTGCTGCAGGTACGTTATTTAAAAATTCATGTGATTCTTCTTTAAATTTCAATTCTTTTCTTCTAACTACTAACTTAAACTCTTCTTTTTTGCAATCATTTTTCAGAGTCCATCGAAGCAACCAGCATTGAATCAATTTCCGTTGCGGGACCGTCCAGAATGGTTCCTTTTCCCTGCCAAGGTAAATAATAAAAAATAAATCATTTGTATGTTTTTTTTCTAATAATCAATTTTTATATTTTTACATTTTTTATATTTATTTTCAGAATCAGTGGAAACAACCAGTTCTGAATCGATCGTTACCACCTACAACGCACCTTTGTCGGACGAAAATGAATTCCTTATACAACTTAAGGATAAATATAAAGAAACAAGAGACAGCAATGAGCGATACAGGATTTTAACCACACTTCCCAAAAGTTGGTCTACATATAGAATTATGAAGGAGTTCAATGTTTCCCAACATATGGCCAACCAAGCAAAAGCACTGCAGCAAGAGAAAGGAATAATGTCGGTGCCTGTAAAGAGGTTAAGCAGAGCTTCATTAGGAGAACCAACGATAATGCTTGTTCGTGATTTTTACAATAGTGACGATATAAGTCGTGTTTGTCCGGGGAAAAGGGATTATTTAATATCTAAAAATTATGAAGGCGAAATCTACGTACAAAGAAGATTAGTTTTGTGTAACTTGCAGGAGGCATACTCCATCTTTAAAAATACATATCCTGATATTAAAATAGGATTTTCCATGTTCGCCAGTAACCGTCCGAAACACTGCATTTTGGCAGTGACAAGTGGCACGCATACCGTATGCGTTTGTATATATCATCAGAACGTTAAACTTATTTTTAAAACACTACAAAGCAGACAATCACTCCCAGATGGTGTTGATTCCTATCACGATTTGTTTAAAAAAATAATTTGTCAAAATCCAAGTGAACAATGCTGGCTGCAGTGTTGCAAAAATTGTTCAGGAATGCAAATTTTGGCCACAGAACTAATGACTACACACTTAAAAAAATTGATGTAAATTTAGGTGCTCTGAGACTGACATATACGAGCGTCAATTTTGACATAAAATTGAGTCATAATAGTCATAAAATTCAGCTCAATCAAACGTACTTTCTAACTTTTCAGTCTCGGAGCACTTAATTTTACATAACATGTTTGTTTACGTCTCATCCTTTATGTCAAAGATGGATTCCGTCACGTGTAAGATTAGGTATTTCTAAGTGTGTATTCTTAGTAACGGACATGTTGAATCAATACAATTCAAACAATGGCGTCAAGTAGAGAGATGCATTATGGACTTAGTTGAAATGGACACACAGGAATTTATTGATACTTTTTTAGAAAAAATATTCAATTTATTGCCGCATAGCTTTATAGCTGAGCAACAGGCAAATTACATGAAACACGTCAAAAGCAATTTGAAAGCTACAGAATGCATCATAATCTGTGATTTTTCGGAGAATTATTCTTTCGTTGTGCAGGATGCAGTTCAAGGCTTTCATTGGGCGAACGCCCAATGTACTATTCACCCTTGTGCTATTTATTTTAAAGACGAAGAATCTAACGATTTGAATTGCAATTGCTGATTTCACTAAACATAATCATGTCGCAGTTCGTTTATTTCTTACGCATTGTCTAGCGTTCATAAAATGTAAATTGCCAAGCTTACAACAGATTTACTTTTTCTCAGATGGATCAGGAAGCCAATATAAAAATAAGATGACCGCTTTTAATTTATGCAACATGCAAAAAGATTTTGGCATTCCTGCCGAGTGGAATTTTTTCGCAACTTTTCATGGAAAGGGCCCTTGTGATGCTTTGGGAGGAGTATTAAAACGAAACGCTGCGAAAGCGAGTTTGCAAGGCCACCATATAACAACGGCCCAAGAACTTTACTCATGGGCTATTTCTAAGCCAGATTCAAAAATACACTATCAGTTTTTTTCGGAATCCGATTACAATAAAATGGAAAGAAAATTGAAAAACCGTTATATACATGTGAACCAAATTTCGGGGACACAGTCATTCCATAGTTTTAAGCTTGTAAGTTACTCATAGATTTCATTAGTCACAGCTGCTGTGACTCGATGGAGACGCATTGTGAACTACCTTGCGTCTTCATCGTTTCCATGCACGTGTGGTGCATAGATTGCGGAACAATAATTTTTTATTTTAAAAAATTGTATCTCCAAAACTGCTTCTCCGACATCGCTAATTTTTTGATAAGTTATGTAAAATTAAATGATCTTTCAATTAAAAATACTAAAATAAGAAGTTGTTGAAGACCCTCGCAGTGAAAATCAAGAAAAAGCATTTGTAACATATTTTTTCCTACAAGATCAAATATCTCTGAGTGTTTCATAATTTTTCTTTAAACTACATTAAAACATCTTTCATTTGAAGGGTCAATCGTAAAAATCGGTCAAGAGGTTCAGAAGTTAAAAATTTTTGAAAAAAGACATTTTTGAAAAAAATGATTTTTTGGACCACCTTAACACGGAAATGGTCACCCTAATGGCGCAATAAAAAATACGAGTCTAATATTTTTTGATAAGGAAGAACTATACCAATTTTCATGAAATTCTGAGACCCACTATAACTTTTTTCTATGGAATTGCTGTATATATACATATATCTATAGGATTTTATGTTGATGCGAAAAGAAGAGGTTTTCCACTCACTTTAGAAGGGGCAAGGTTGGTCCTTCTGAAGTGAACTTTTCCCTCTCAAATAAATAAATAACGGGTGTCATTTCACGGTGAAAACGAATTGAAGTCACTAGTTGTCACTCACGGTGAAGTGATTGCCGTGTAAATCAAATGGTAATCACTTCACCGTGAGTGACAACTTGTCACTTAACCGTGACAGTGATGTCAAAAAATCGCTTCTAGCGGTAAATGAATACTACTTCTAAAAAACTACTTTTTTCAGCCTACAACTAATCTTAAACTACTATTAACACTTTACAAAGCATGTTCTGAAATGTTGCATTTCTGCACAAATCTAGTCGTGATGTCGGTAATTTAAAAATCTATTCTTGGGATATCCGCTTCCTGGTGAAGCACTGTTATCCTTGTGTCGTAGCGGCGAGCGAGGATCATCCTCAGCACTCTGTGTTGTGCCACCTGGACATTGTTCCTGTGAGTCTGTGCACTTGATTCCCACACCGGAGCAGCCAGCGTAGAAAATTGCAGATGCAATGATTTGTTTGTAGACGGCCAGTTTGTTCACCATAGAGAGACGAGATCTGCGACAAATGAGCAGATACAGACACCTAACTAAGCTTGAACACTTAACTAACAGCTTTCCTATGTGCGAGCTGAATAGGAGCTTTTCATCAAACAACATCCCGAGATAAATTACTTCTGTAGATTACTCGACCCTTGAGCCGTCCATGACTACTGTGCAGGAGGGAGCTGGTTTTAGATTGGAGGATTGCCTGTGCAGGAACATAATTGCCTGGGTTTTAGCGGCATTGATTTTGTTTTTCCACGTTTTCGCGTAGTCAGAAAAGGTGTCAAACACCCTTGAAGTTTGTTGGTGATTTCGCGAGGCAATCTGCCTTTGACGGAAATTGCAGTATCATCTGCAAATAGGAAGAACACGCACCCGTTACCGAGATCGGGTATATCGAAAGTGTATAAGCTGTAAAGTAAAGGGCTCAACAGACTACCTTGTGGGACGCCTGCTGGGATGGAGAACGTGTCGGAAAGAAAATCATTTAACGATACCTTGAATGACCTTTTCTGAAGGTAGTTACGGGTAATTTTAACCAGATGTAAAGGAAAGTTGAAGTTACAAAGCTTGTACACAAGTCCATCATGCCAAACATTGTCAAACGCCTTTTCAACGTCTAACAAGGCCATGGCTGTAGACTTGGATACAGCTTTGTTACTTCGGATGTTGTTCATCACCCGTACGAGCTGGTGCGTTGTGGAATTCCCCTTTCTGAAACCAAACTGTTCCGGTAGGAGAATATTGCTTTCCTCGACAGTCTTGAGCAAACGGTTGAGAATGAGTTTTTCGACCAATTTGCTCATTGCTGAAAGGAGGCTGATCGGTCTGTATCTAGACGGCAATGTTGGATCTTTACCCGGTTTGTGAAACAGTTCCAAGCATCTGTTGGAGATAGCGGTCGAAAACTTGTACACTTTCGTGCTAAGTTTATTTCGAATTATGTGGAAAATGCCGTCAAAACCGGGGGCCTTCATATTCTTAGAATATTTCAGCGCTGAGCAAATCTGTTCTACCATGAATTCATCCTCCGGGGGGACGACACAAGGGGAGGCATCTAAATTGTGGACGCATTGCGTCACCTGATTTTCGAGCGGACTTTGGATATTGGAGCCAAGCAAGTGCGATGCAGCAATATGATCACCAATCACACTTGCTTTCTCCTTCGGTGTTATGAGCCGAGCGTCATCATTTTCGAGTCTTAGAGGTGGAACAGGTTTGGGATGAGACTTCAGAACCTTGGCTACCTTCCAAAATGGACGTGAACGGTCATTCAGATTTTGGACAACACGCCCTAAACTTTCATTTCGGAGTGAGTTCATTCTGGAAGCAATCTGCCTGTTCAGATCGGTCATTTCACGTTTTTTGTCCAGATCTCCAGTTCTCTGAAACTGGCGTCTACAAATATGGGAATCAATGGTAGTAAACTTACCCCTCACAGGAACTTGACGGACACATATCTCGTCAGTCATGGATATGGCTTGATGAAGGACTTCCAGCGCCCGGTCGATGTCATCTACGGTGTCAAGCGGTGGATTTTCGTCGATGTTTCTGTCCATCACACGCTCGAACTGGACCCAGTTTACGTGTTGGTAGTCCTTTCGTTGGCTATTTGGAGCAGCAGGCACTGTGATGCCGACTTTAGCCACAATCGGTTGGTGGTCTGAGCTAAGGTCGTTGTGTGCCATCGGTTTGGATACACCGATGTTTGTCAGGAAGAAGTCCAGCGTGGAAGGGTTTCTCGCCGGAGAGATGAAAGTTGGTTCATTTGGAAACTCCACTGCGTACAGCCCATGCTGCAAGTGATCAAACAGCAAACGACCACTGGTAGTACCGCCAAGCCTCGTGACGGGCATTAACATCGTCTCCAATGACGAATCGAGAGCTAGTGCGAGTGATGGTGGTCAGATCATTCTTAAATTTGGCTCCTAATCCGTTGCTGGTCGAGGGCAGTACACAACGATTAAACGGACGATTCCGGTTGGCGATTTCACCTCCATTCTGAGAGCTTCGATGATAGAGGTGCGGATGTGGGGAAGAGTGACGAACTTGATCCCCTTTTTGATGACGACCGCAACACCACCCTTCCCCCCCCCCGGGAGTTGGTGCGATCAAGACGGATATGGTTACGCAACCAGAAGCTGTCGCCGGACTTAAGGGTGAGTCTCAGTAAGGAGCCCCACGTCGATGTTGTGCTTGCGAAGGAAATCGGCAAGTTCAATCTTTTTTGCTCGTACAGAGCAAGCGTTCCAGGTGACGATAGTTAACGGCGTAGACGCCGTACTGGATAATGAACTTACCGAGCACATGGATCTTTTCGGGCTTACTGCGGTACTAACGAAGTGAGCTGGTTATGCTGACAAAAATCTCCATCAGTTCATCGGCTGTGAACAGATCAGGATTGTTGGCTTGTGCTGATGGGTTGACTCCGGAATCCAGGAGGGGATGGAGAGCTTTGTCCAGCAGACGCGCTATGGGGTTCTTGAGAGGGGTCCACGGATACGCAGGACCCTGTTTCATTGGGCGGAGTGGCCGAAAATTTTCCGATCTAAAGGCTGGTGCCTTCTCCTTCCTTAGTCCTGGTTTATTGTTCGCAGACGCCTGATCTCGGATCCGCTTGAATTCTTGATGCGCTCCTCCAAAGTTGACACATTTGACCACCGCAGCTTCGCCTGCACATTCGGTGGTGATGTGATTTTGGGCACATTTTCCACAACGCGGTTTGATGTGGCAGTTACGGGTGCCGTGTCCGAAGTTCAGACAGTGCTGACACTGGGTCACATTGCGATGGCCGCCACGATATGGCTCCCATCGAACGATAATCGAGTGATTGAGCGGATGTCTTTCAACGCATTTAGCGTCACCGTGTCCTTTGGGGAATGCACCAAGAATAGGTAGTCCGGATATGCCTTCGCGGTCTCGTCCTTTCTCGTGATTCTGAAAACCGCGATGGGAGCCAGCTTGTACCGGTCTCTAATCTCAACCTCGATCAGCTTCGGTTCGTAGTTTGGGAGACCTCTGACAACCACCTAAAATGGCCTCTCACCAGGGATGTCATGTGTGAAAAATTTCGTACTGGCGTTCTTCAGGTAGGCGACGACCAAATCGTACTCCGCTTTTGTTTGAAGCACCACTTTGGTACCAACTCGTCCCAACTTGTATTCCGCTTTCACACCCAGAGCCGCCAGTTCAACAATGAGTTCGTTGAGGTGAACATTTTTACCACCAACGGGGGAAGCTTCACTTTTACTGCACATTTAGAATTGATATTTTCGGCAGCGTCGCCGAAGTCGATGACGTTCGTAACGGCAACATCATCTCTTTTTGCTGCGTTTTTCCTTCGCTGCCGGCTGGCTGTATACATACTTCATCGGTGGGGAGAGTGGCGTATCTATTTGAAATAGGTACGCAACTTCTTGAGGTTCCTTCACCGAGATTTTCCCCGCGTTGGATGCTCCATCTCAAGGCACGCACACTAACACGATGCGACCGAATCAACGCTTGACGATATTTTTTAAAGAATTTTCTTCTAAGAGCTATGTTTGTTTGTCTGTGGTTGAACTTTGACTGAATGAACACACCAACCATTGGCGAAACTAAGGAAAATTTCTTATTTTTTGAACTTGTCAATTAGGCAGTTGGCGAACATTTTTCATGTGTAAGGACAATTATTAATTGTAGAAACAATTCTAGAGGGGGCTACATAGCCCCCTCTCCACCTAGCCCTCCCGTAGTTACGCCAATGACACCAGCACAACCAACTCGAAGTAGGTTGGATCGGCTGAATGAACGCCAAAAATAAGCTGAAAAGATGTTGCGATCTGTGTCGACCTCTCATTAACCCCCTCATCGACCTCTCATTAATATCACTGAACGATTGTTTTGCTGATGGAGGCCTTAGTAACTACCAATTAACCTTTACGAAGTGTTTGTTCGTCTCACCTCAACAGGATCCAGGATATTGATGAACTGAATGTTAGCCAACTGCACTCTACCAATGCAAATTAAACTCAATAAACCGCTGTTGGTACCGTTCATGTGAATACATTTTTTCGTGATGCATTAATTACCTTCATTATAATAATTCATTCCATATTCATGATCTCTCCTCTGTTTTTCTCCATTGCTTGCAGGTTGCCTACCGGAGAATGCTAACAAGCGCCTAATTGCCATTGTTCTGAATCAATCACGTCCTGCGGAAGACCCTGCACAGTAAAACGGCCTCAGTGAATTGAAAATCAATCGCTCGGCATGAAAATTCATTAATCATCTCTGCGAAAACCCAGTAAATCCGGCGCCGGATTATCATTGTTCGGCCAACTGGTGCTTCACGGAGGCTTCCAACCACAGCCCACAAAAGGAGTAGGTTCTGAACTTCTGATCCCACGCTGCTCGTCATTATTAAGAAGTATTTTTCTCGGATTAATACCAACCGGAGAGGCATCGGTTCCGGAAGGATGAGTTGAGTCCACTTGGATCCCGGTCGGTCAGTGCAATCAAACAGTGTGCCATCATAGATAGTGTGTATTTGCTGAAATGAGTAGCTTACCAGCATTCAAGAGTAGAAGCAGCAGCCGTGGTGTGAACAAGTGGTGCCGCGTCCAGAGTGGGATGATAAAGCAAACTGTAGAGTTAACGATAAATTGCCGGAACGAAAACGTTTACCGATAGAGAGCGGCTGTTGCGAGTCGGCAGCGTCTGGCAGTGGCATTTGATTGTGGTTTTCCTTCCGGATAACCGGAGTAAATCATCCGTGGCTAACGGCAACAGACACAGATTGAAACCGGACTTGGGTGTTGAGGAAGGACGGGTTTGTGTATTTGGAAGGGAAAACAACATGTTATGCCATTATCACCTGCTTGTATGTTTGTCCTGCTTTGTGGCTAATTGCTGGAGTTCAACTTCGGAGTACCTTATCATTCGGCATGGCCGGTCACGGGTTCGTCACTCAAGCGAAAAGGATCACATCCGCTGGGGACTGCAGGTGTTTGATAACTTTACCCTGCTGGACTACGATACGGTCGATGATTCAAACGAAACGAGCAGCTCTAGCAACACCCTTGGTGAATTGAGACCACCCAAGAAACCGGGACGGGGAAAAGTGGGGGTGGATCAATTTTCGGATAATAGCAATAATTCCGATACGCTCACGATTCAGTTCAGTGAGTCGGAAGAATTGGATCGAATGATTGATATCAGCGATTTTGATAGTATATCAATCGAATCCGGAGGCAGTGGAAGTAGTGTCCGAAAGCAGCCATCATCCTTCAGCAGCTGGAGAAACAATCACACCCTTAACCTTCCCTTCTCCATAGACTCGGTTCAACGATTCACACCTACGCCAATGGGACAGGGGCCGAAAGGTACCCTGCAGAGGAAAAAGCTTATCAAAAAGGAGATAATGGAAAACATACGAAAAACGGTTGATAAAGGATTGGAATATCTTAAATCTCACAAGAATTTAGATGAGGTTAAGATAGAGCTGAAGCCGTTCCGAGCACGTACGAAGGGTGTTGAGAACGGTGAAAGGTTGGCACATTCCTTCGGTACAATATCCACCGACCCGGACACGTTATTGCGAAAAGTTATTCCCAGTCACGAGTGGTCCAATGGAAGGAAGAAATACGAACCGAAGCACGTGGATGGCAATCGAAAAGATTACACACAAGTGTCGTCACCATTTTCAAACCCCTCCACAAGTACGATTGCTGACAGCCAGCGACAGAGTGCCGAAAGCGAGTTGCCATCTAGCGCTTACCTGGGGGAGAGATATTGGAAAAGTGTCAAAATAAATAACGACGGCAGCTTTTCCCGATCGTCGACAGTAAGTTCAGAACGGAAACAGATTTCCACGGAAAATACTGGTTCACCGGATAATAATGACTACCCGAATGATTCGCCACTCCAGGCAGTTGACGACCAGAGGAATGGTTTCGCTTCACCGGCCATTGCTAATGAAGCTGGTAGTCTGGATTGGAGCGAAAAAAAATCAGGACCAATTAAAAGCAAAACGAACAGTGGAAACAATGCGGAGGAAAAATTTAATTACGAGCTACGAAAACAACCGTTCGATTCACGTTCTACGGTGACCTTTCAGAACGATGGTCCTACGGTAGAGGAAAGTGACGAAGTTATAAATATCCTAAACGATTCGCCAACAATGAGCTTCGAGCCAAACGAGGCAGATGCTCCGTCTACAATAATTTTCAACAGTGACACGGACTCGGACTTGGACGATCCTCTGACGTGGGTTTCGGATGCTTCGGACTCAACCGATGACGGCAGCGGCAACGTTCCCGACATGGGTGAGATTTTCCGCATGGAAGATATCGACCTGAGCGAACTGGATGAAACCAGTCGGAACAATAGACGCAATTTGATGAAGGGTCGCGATGTGGTGACGAAGTTTCTGCAAATCGTCGAAAGTCAACATCTGCTGGGATCTAATTGTACGGCTGGCACCGCGCTCAACCTTGGCGAGGGCGTCGTCGACCGATATGCTCAGGACCGGTTTCGCGTGGAAGCGGAAATAGCCGTGAATAGAGCCAACATGTTGACGAGGTGAGTGGGAAAATCAATTTGCTTGATTCTGTTTTTATCATTCTTTTTATTTTTTATAATGGATCGAGTGGCAGCTGAAATAAGCTCCCCATTTCCATGTAGGGGAGAACAGTCCATAATGCGCAGCGGGGGTAAAATGTCCCCGCGCGGTTTTTCGTTGTTTTCCTATTACTAATTATGTTAAATTCACGAATTGACAATCGAGGCCATTTTACACCAGAGGAGCGTTTTAGCCCATCCTACCCTGCACGCACTGCGAGTGAGGCAGTGTTATTAACAGGCGCAAGTGGCAGACACTCATGGGGGCAAGAATTCTACAACAAGAGACAGGGAGTAAAAATTACATGAAGTAATCAAATTTATAAAAATAAAGAAAAATCAATTTGGGTAGCTTTTCCAGCAAAAATTTTGTTCCTATAGTTTCGGTTTGGCGTTTTGACCAAATGATGGTGGATTTGCATATTTTTGACTCAGGAAAAGGAGATTGCATTTAGAAGTAATTCAACCGAAAAATCTTGTTCATGCAACTGAAGAAGAGCTGGAAATTTGTATATGCAATTGTCAAGTATTAATAGTCATCGCCAATTTTCATCTTCAATCTAACTTTAATACGCCGATTTCGGCGCACAATTAGAGAAATCCTAGGATTTTGAAAAAGAACGCAACCAAAACAAAATCTGCTCTCACCGCTCTCACAGACACATATGAACATCAAATCAAGAGCAAATTTTCATTACGTCGAAAGTAACAAAGGTAAACAAAGTCGAGCTATCAGTGTCGATGCTCCTGTTATTACACTACATAGGGCATAGTGAGCTTCCTGCGCTTTAACATCGGATGTATTATGGTTCATCACAAATGAATTGGTTATGAATCATTGCAATGGTGATATTGAACCTACTACCAATTAATTTTTTTTGAATAATTAGAGGTTTACACACTTACAATTTATCGCCGACTTCGGTCATTTTTACCGAAATCTGAACAGCTAAACTGTTCGGTAAAATTTATGCAATTCAATTCAATTGCTTTTCAGCTACTTTGAAACTAAATCTCCACTAAAATGACAAGATTTGATCATTAAAACAAGGTTGAACATGTGTTGAAATTATTTTCAAATTCAATAGCGTTTAATATGAAGGACAAAGTTTTACCGAACGTTCAGCTGTTCTGATTTCGGTAAAATTTACCGAACACGAAAACAAAATCTTAGTGTGTATGACTAGAGGGCGAGATGCTTATTATGCCTCACCTGTTCACTATGCCCCTCTTACCCTTACTGTCCGAATATAGGATCACATCCCATTTTTAAATTTATGTATAACTAGCTGAGTGTGCCCGGCCTTGCTTGGGGTTCAATATTAGCTTGAGTTTATGCGTCAATTAAAAAAAAACATGCTATATTGAACGTTGCCCCCCCCCCCCCCCTCTTATCTCAGGGGCTACCCCCTATGACCTCCACATGCCAAATTTGGTTCCAATTGCTTGATTAGTTCTCGAGTTATGCAGAAATTTCTGTTTCATTTGTTTTGGAGCCCCCCTTTCCAGAATGGGAGCGGTCTCGAACCATCATAAGAACCTTTCCCTGCCCCAAAAACCCCTGCATACAAATTTTCACACTGATCGGTTGAGTAGTTTCCGAGTCTATAATGGTCAGACAGACAGACAGACAGACAGACAGACAGAAATTCATTTTTATAGATTTATAAATTGCTTTTTGACGTAGTCACCTTCCGATCAAAAAAATTTTGTATGTTACTTTCTATAGAGATACCGTTTGTCTTAAGTAACAGCGCAGAGAAACCTGTGAAAAGTATACGTTTGTCGTTTCGCTTTCTCATTATTAAAGTTAATAAATTTAACTGTTTGTTGTTAAGATGATCTCGGTGGTCCTAAAATAATGAATGGGCTGCACGTAAGGAGACGTGATTGATAATTCTCCCGTATATTCTAGTCAGGTTTGCTTCCACTCACTTGCTATAATTTTTTTTTGTCTGAATTATGAAATTATTAGATGATGTAACAATTTGTTGTACTTGTAGAAACAAGAAGAGTGTGTAAAAGTTTGTGTTTGACTCATAAAACCTGTCAATTTCGATATGGGGATATGGGGCATTCACTCAGAGTGAGCGCTCACGAATCGTAAAATCACTGATTGCGACGCACTAAAAGCAATATTGACAGGTTGTATGTTTCAAACACATACTTAACGACCTCTTTTTGTAGCTTACAAGTACTTATTATCATTATAACATCTAACGATTTCATAATTCTGAAAAACAATTTTTTATAGCAAGTGAGTGGAAGTAACCCTGATTCTAGTAAATACACTTGGACTTAAGCAACATTAGGTGCCACTAAACGACGTACAATAACTTTTGATTAAAAAACCAGTATTTTTTAGCAAATTGCTAGCGATCTGCTTTGTATGATTAAAACCCTGCTGAATATGTTAAACATTGCTATCACTATGAGATTATATGTGTTCAACTGGAAATAGGAATAACTTTTCGGTCATCAAAACCAAATTTTATTTTTCTCAGATCGGTGCGAATGTTACTTTCGACATAATGAAAATTTGTTCTTGATATATGCTTTTTGTTCCCGTTTGAAACGAATGATTTTACAATTAATTTTATAGTTTTTTTTTTTCGGGAGTTGACCAACTGCAGTCTTAATAGGCTAGCATCTCGGTTGGGCTCTCCATGCGATACACAATACTAACAGACGATTCGAGCTATGGTGCTCACTAGGTCACTGCAGCTTTTAGGCTCGTATTGTGATCAACTGTGTGTATTAGATTACGACCATAAATCCGGAGAACTCCGAGATCTGGGCTCAATCGCCCTTGCAAACAAACACGTCAATCGCCGGTCTCCCGCGAACAAAAGAACAATCCTGCAAACAAACTATACCAAATCATAGAGGAACTATTCCTCTACCTGTTTGTGTTATTAGTTTTTCCAGACTGAGCCCAAATTCGCGAGAAACCGGCAAATGACGTACCTATCTACAAAAGCAACTACGCTCCAACCTCGAAGCTCTCCGGAAATATGTGATAAATCATGTAAATGTAAATGGAATACAGTAATGTCCCGATTTTGCCAGCCCTCTTTTTTGAAAATGTTTTCCAATGTTCTACAAAACCCATGCCCTTTTTCAGTAATCTTCTTGAACCTATTGCACCAAAGTATACTTTAAATATCCCTCTTAACGATGAATGAGAAAAAAATAGATTTATGGGTATGTGAAATCATTAAAGAAAAAAGTCTGAAGCGCGGAGGGGCTGACAAAATCGGGTCATTACTGTATTTAAAATAAATAAATTCATTCTTACCATTTTATGGTTGTTTGATTATTAATTGCTATTATTACCTGCTTAGAGTTGTCTCCTTTAAAATAAGGTGTAGAACTTACCTTATTATTCATCAGCTCGATCGATTTCCGTTCTTGCGTGGTTTTTGTGATATAACCACGCTCGGCATATTATCCTGTAGTACGACTTGGGCGTGCACCATGCAAGTAACTCATCTCTCGTCAAGATGATGAGATATGGGGTGATGGTGAAGGGATATAGAAAACGAATAAAAGAACAGAGAGAAAGGTATCAGTATTGGTTACATTTACCCCCCCCCCCACACACACACACACACACACATAACGAAAAAGAAAGATAGATGCACAGACAAACAAAAATAACACATTTAATATTTCTCTCCACAAAACATAGTCACTAAAACACTACAGCAGATGTCATGGATAGTACGCTGAATAGATGGCGCTAGTGTGCAGCCGTCAAACGCAAGGGAACCGACCGTGCGCGCCACAGGTGTCGGCACCACCAACCAAAAACACTCAAATTGACCGTCAAATGCGTGTTCGATGAACAAAATGCGAGTGTTATGTCTGTTTGTCTGTGATAGATTGGTTATTAGGAAAGTACAACTACATTATAACTATTAGTGCAATTGATGAACGTTAGTTTCGGGGTCATGTTAGTGTTATAGTTTTGTTAGTATTGACCCTTATTCAGCCCTGTCGGCCCCTCGAACACTAGTCGCAGGCAGTTGTTGTTAGGACATGCGACACTGTCACTGCTACTATGTTAGAGGTATGACCCGTCAAGTTTCTAAGAGCAAAATAACTGTTAGAACTTTCTTTTAAATTAACTTTACACTCTAAGCAAACTATTTACCTAAGCATTACAAAAGCGAATTTAAAATTACTATTTTATTTTATGCTAATATTAAAATTATGATAAAACTACAATTTACGGCTCCGTTAAATTAACTCGCTTGAACCGTTCAAATTAATGAACTGAAGAAAAACTAAATTGCAAAAAACTCATAGCGACACTTGACAAATCATCATCAAGCCCCTCATCCTTGGACAGGGGATTATACAATTGATTTTATAGTGACTGCTCATGTAAGTTAAAAAGATACGGTGAAGACATATTCAGATATATTTTTGATCTTGTTAAAGAGTTTTTCTTATTGAGTTTGTATGGAAACCAATCTAAAACTATGATCATTCAAAACTTCAAAATCACGAATATTGGATATGGGATTGCACATTTTGCAGTTTTGTAAAAAAGTAGATTCTCCGCTGATGATAATGTTTTTCACTCGGACCTGAAAAAGTAGAAATTAATAAATTTCAATGGTCTATCACTGCTCGTAAAATGTAGCGCCTATATAAGGTGACAAGTTTGGCGGTTCATTCCATAAATTCCAGATTCGTTATAGGCGACAAGCATTTTTGCCATCTAAAACTGATTGATATTTCTCATCTATCATATTTTCCCCGGAAGTGATTGAGCAGTTCTACGCAAGAGCTGGTTTGTTTCCTTTTATGTTGCGTCGGTCTCCGCTCCACAATCGAGTGCCATTCGCAGACTAGCGTCGATTTCCAATTGGTGATTAATCATCGATAGCAGTAGAGTGCGAGGAAAGCAACTTCCACACCTGGAGCCTATCGAACGCATCAAAATATGGACC